TACGGCTACAAGACCTAGATAACATCAGGTCATCCAATATATATAGCCTTGTTAGACATGGTGTGGTGATAACACCGTTTTCAAGAACACCAGTCTGGACGATAATAGTACTACCCATTGTGATGTCAACCACGGTGCTCATAGGATTATCCAGAGTGGTAACCCTGACATCAGCATCACTTCCATCTTTCATCCAGATGAAGCTGAATAACTGAATAAGACCTAAACTCGGTCAGGGCTGTGAACTCAACGTTCGATAAGCTTTAACACACATCTACGTAATGAATACAGGCAGCAAAGATGTAATACTTCGCATAATCAGTTTTCCAATAAAATACCAAGGGCATTAATAATATATCTATTTCGGACATATGGACGAGTTTACAATGAAAACAATATTTTCAGTGTTAGATTACCGATCAGTGATTATAGATTAATCCGGATTATCGATTAGTTAGCTGAGATCTAAGTCTTTGAACTGATTCGATCTGAGATCCCTGTGACTATCCAGCACTGTGAGCCCAGCTATTGGGAAAACTTGCCAATATGCGAGGCTTATTGTTTCGGACATTGTTTTAATTTCGATACAGTAATTATACATTGTTTAGTGTATCAGTCGGGCGGTGGAGTAGCCTAGTGGTTAAAGCGTTGGCTCGTCACGCCGAAGACCCGGGTTCGAATCCCCACATGGGTACATTGTGTGAAGCCCATTTCTGGTGTCCCCCGCCGTGATGTTGCTGGAATATTGCTAAAAGCGGCGTAAAACCAAACTCAGTCAGTCAGTAGTGTATCAGTTGTTCTGTCGCACCCGTCGTTGCCAAGAAATGTCCTTTCCAAAGAAGTAACATGTCAATGGGGTAAATATATAGCTCTCTCTATATACTGAACTAGTGGTGTTCCGATGATCGAAAATAATCGAAAATAGATCGAAAGAAGGATTAAAATATATTATCGATTGTAAAAAACATATTTTCGATTAATCAGAATTTTGTTGTTTTAGTAAAACACACTTGAATGAGGTAAACTAACCATTACATTTGACAAGTTTTCACTAACAAACATGCACTCAACAGCGTAAAAGCTATGCGCATTGTAAAATTTAAGCAACTTTATTGTTTATTAATTACAATTCCAGTGTCTGTTTTGCATGCATGAATTTCATTGCATGACAGTCTTAGTTAAAAAAACAACTAATTACAAAAAAACACATTAAAATTGGTGATTACATTAAAAATGTATATATTTCGATTATAATCGATAATCGTTCACCACATGTCCTCCGATAATCGATAGTGGATTTGGCTTCTGATTCCCAACACTATATTAAACCATTAGTAATTTATAGGTAAATACGACGCCAGGGAAAGGTAACACGGCTTGTATGTAGTCATTAATTTCCTTAGGAAACGAAGATAGTATTTTATGACAACGTTGTCTATTTAATGTCCAATCTATTTTCTTCTCATTGCAGATAAGCACAACTAAGACGTTACTGTAAATGATATTTGTCAGGACAATCCACTAATCTTTCATATAGATTTTCTTCAATCCGTTAATTACTCAACCTCTCATCTCTCCTCGTTTGAACGTTAAGAAATGTAACAGTACACTTGGATATTATAAAAGCTTTATTGTTAGGTTCATTTGGAATCGAACTTTTGGGCTCAGGGATGAGTTGTACTAAATAAACACAAACTTCTATACAGATTGATGTAGTCTGTCCCAGTTTATTATCTGAAGCTACACTTCAGACCCCTACACTTCTGGTCCTTAAACAATAATTTATAAGTCAACATTTATGAAATAGGTAGCAGCATCAGCAAACATGAAAACGTCAATTTCGCCACATCGATATCTGGTCTTCAGAGTCTGGAGTTGAGTCTGCAAATCTCGATACTTCTCCTTGTACTTTAGTCTACTTGTTGCCTGGACTTGGATGATTGAGATTTCATTCTTGGTCTGCATGGTCTTAATGACACTGATGAACTGATGATGGGGTGTCTTGTTGATGTTGTTGCATTTATGGTGCCACCCTTTAAGATGGTGTGTTGTACGGGGGCCCTGAGTGTCAAAGTAAGCGACCTTCTCTCTGAACCCAGTACTCAGTGAAAACTTGTCCACCTTTATGGTTATCAATATATTCAACTTGTACCTGTGCGTATGCCATTTTGAATGTAGCTGTCGAAGCTGTCCTACTTTTTATATTATACAGGCTATAACAGTCTTGTAACAACATCATGCCTTTGAGGTTTGGGCTAGGCGGGAATAGGGAAAAAAGATTTTTGGCTAGGCGTGAGGGCAGCAATTGTATATATACACCACCTGAGAAGATGTTGATTGTGAGAATAGGAAAGCGTTTGTGTTTGTCAACGTCTCGCTCAACAATGGTCCAGTTGCTTTAAAATTATTGCAGTAAATTATTGAATCTGGACCAGAACATCCAGAGACTGATGTGGTGATACACGCCGTTAGGGTACGATGACAGCGTAATAACAAACCACGACACTAGGGTGACCGCGCGATCCAATAAGTCGCCTTTTACGATCAGATTTGTTGCTGAGGACCAATCCTAAGCCGAAATCCCCACGGGAACAGGAAACGGATTACATCAATTATTAATAGGCAGGTGTCAGATGGTTATTAGTGGACGTGATATCGGATAGGGGTCAGTTGACAAGATATAAACCATCAGTGTTAACGCTGAGTTGGTGCCGTTCCGACAGCATATATATTGTATGACGGCATTTCGACTTGTTGTGGAAGTAGGGTTGGTTGGTTTGTTGTTTAACGCCCGACAATATTCCAGCTATTTGGCGGCGGTCTGTAAATAATCGAGTCTGGACCAGACAATCCAGTGATCAACAACATGAGCATCGATCTACGCAATCGGGACACGATGACATGTGTCAAACAAGTCAGCGAGCCTGACCACCCGATCCTGTTAGTCGCCTCTTATGACAAGCATGGGTTGCTGAAGATCAAGTCTTACCAGGTCAGAACATGTGAGGATGCTGATAGATGGTTACTTTTTTGGTGAAACCTTCGGTGACGAAAATGGTGCTGAAACGGAACTGGGTTTGAACCGAATTTATCCTGGCGCCACAGATCACTTGGCTACCCTGGAACATGGATTCTTCCGTGGACATTTCCAGGTAACACAAGGTCCCTAACAAACTACGCTTGTCCCAGGAAGCGATCAAGTGATCAGATTTGGTGACTTCGTTGCCTGCGTGCCTGTCATTGTACCCCAAGGGACTCAATCTGTGCTCATAATATCAGTCATTGGATCGTGTATCCAGACAACACTATAATTGATCCCCAACGACCAATAATCTATGTTTACGACAAGAAGGACGTTATACACGCATGTGATTTTTTCTTCCAGGTTATAAATCATTCCCACTGCTCGTCGTAATGGACTCATATGAGGAAAGTTGCGTGTCGAACTTCAGTCGCTAGTAATAGCTAGATGTTAATCTGTGCTAAAAACATCAACGTCGTCCCTACAAGATTAAACATCCGACAACAAAATGCAGCATGATGTGTATGAGGTAAGAGACTGATAGTCGCCGGATCTGACGATCAGATGACCACTGGATCACCATATGGTGATCATTAATTGGAGTAGTCCTGGCGTTCAACTGCATGAATAGAGGCAGCAAGCATACCTCCGAAATGGTGGTTGAGTGGCTGAGGTAGTGAGTGAAGTGGCTTTAGTGCTGAATGGTATTCCAGCTGTATCATGTTGTGTCAGATTGGTTTGGGAGGATGGTCGGAAGTGATACAGGTCTCATTGGCAGTTCGGGTTTGATGCTGATAAACCTAGAAACATGATCGGGACGAGTCGGGATTCGAACTCAAAATCATAGGTAGCACGGGTGTCCAAGGGACGCAATTCTAAAAAGTCAGACGACTGAGCCACCTGGTACCCGCAAAGATCATTTTAGATTAGTTGGTTGGTCTGTAGGTTTGTTGTTTAACGCCGCACTCAGAAATATTCCAGATATATGAAGAACGGTCTGTCAATAATTGAGTCTGGGTTACACAATCTTGTGATCAACAGAGTGAGCATCACTCTACGCAAATGGGTTTAAGATGACATGTGTCAACAAAGTCAGCGAGTCTGAGCACCCGATCCCGTTAGTCACCTCTTAAGACAAGCATAGTGGCCTTTTGTGGCAAACATGGGTTGCTGAAAACCTATCCTACCCCGGATCTTCACGGATCACGGATCATGGACAAGCATGGGTTACAATTCTACACCGGATCTTCACGGGTCCATTGTAGATTAGAGATCACGGTGTGGACAGAGATCACTGCATGCAGCAGGAATCATCGTATACGGTAGAGATGACTGCATGCAGCAGGAATAATCGTATACGGTAGAGATCACTGCATACAGCAGGAATCATCGTATACGGTAGAGATCACTGCATGCAGCAGGAATCATCGTATACGGTAGAGATCATTGCATGCAGCAGGAATCATCGTATACGGTAGAGATCATTGCATGCAGCAGGAATCATCGTATACGGTAGAGATCACTGCATGCAGCAGGAATCATCGTATACGGTAGAGATCACTGCATGCAGCAAAGGTTATCACATACGGTAGAGATCATTGCATGCAGCAGGAATAATCGCATACGGTAGAGATCATTGCATGCAGCAAAGGTTATCACATACGGCAGAGGCCACTGCTAGGGTCAGAGGTTACGGAGGTCACCGCAGCATGCTCAAGGTCACCGTATACCTTTCAAACGACACAATGTATACGACAGCTCGAAAAACGACAGATTGAAATGACATGGCATGAAATGACAGGCGAAAGTTATGATTATGTTCTGGCCTTCCGTGAAGGTCAAGGCTATACCGTAAACACTATACCGTCAAACCGATAAAAAGATCTCTAACGGGCGTCAAGTGCAGGGCAACTTCTGAGAGTAAGTTTATAAAGGCAATATTCGTACGAAGAACGCCACATGACATGCAATGACTTACCTGAAGATACTGAATGACCTTGCACATGAAGTTCCCAGCGTACCATTCTATTGTGATCTTGGACAGGAGGTCAGTCATCACACACATGAGGCCCACTAATAAATCTGCAAGAACGAATATTAATGGTCAGAATATAATAGCACCTTTGCGGTGGTATAAAACGCATATCTTTAATGATTCGAACAATACCTGGTATTTCTTTTATGACTACCTCGATAATGAAGAGCGTCATATCTCCTTTCTGTAATGAAATTTACATATTCCATATACATCATCAGTTTGGAAGAGCATTCAGCATCATCATCTCATCTGTCAGTATTTTCTCATGGTGTTTTTCATCATATGATTGAAAGCTGTTGGCTGCCAACTGTAAATACTGGCAATGCTTGAGAATAATCGATCTCGATTATCTGCAGAAACATGTCCATTTTGACATGAAGTGAAGGAGAGGTGACATCTATATGAAAGGATTACCGAAAGTCAGTATGAACACCAGGTGTTCGCAAAGGATAGTAATTTTTTGTCCTACCGGTAGCACAGACCACTCAGAAAATTCGCGAAAAAAGGGTTATGTTTGACGCAGTAAAGGAGTGAGTTAGTGAGTGAGTTAGAATTTAACGTCACCTCGGCAATATTTCAGCCATATAGTGACCAGTAAAGGAGTGAGTGAGCAGAAACACAGTGATAAGACGAATGTGTACCGTCGGCATCAGACCCATGAACCATTGTGGGGCATACCTTTAACCCATAAACATCTACCGAAGTGTCAACATTGGTCGAAAAACGCTGGCAACCTCCCAGTTGGGTACGGCATCGGTGGTGTTTTGGCAACACGTACACAATATTTGGGACTTGTAAGTCACAATCAAAACATAATATTGCCGTTGTGTTTTTAAACAAACAATCCTTTCTGGCAGATGTGTACTTTCTTTGTATGCTGTATTATGACAGCGAAATTGTCCAGGGTATATATAATAGCATGGAAATAAATTACACTTGATAACAGAGGACGCCAAAGGTCATGGCATTAGCAATCCAAAATGACATACAAAATAGATTAATTAGCTGGATGTCATCGGTTCTGCCTTTGATTGTCCATCGACTAAAATGACCGTCTGGATGAATAAGTGTGTTTCATCTTGTGACTTGCATTCTGTAGTGACATTTGAGCTGTACTTTTTCATCAACAGTAAACTTCACCTCACGACTCCTGGCAATGCATATGCCATACCCGTGAATGTTTTATGTGAACATTGCAGAATGATATCAGTGTCAAAATAGTTTCATTGATTAAAGATTAAATGAAAGGATATCACTTTTCCTTTCATATATGCATCAATCAAAGTCTTTAATCGCCTTTCCAGCACCCGTGTTTATTTAACCCTTAGCACACCATATATCACTCTTAAGCCCTTCTCGCATGTCATGTTCTCTCAAACCAGAAAACTGAGCAGAGTTCCTCATTTGTCAGTCTCCTAATTACTCTTGGAACTTCCTCTTGTTTGTTGCAAGGACATCTGAGGTCAAACGCGAAATTAATAACGCGCATTTAGGGCCGCATGAGCAAAGAAAGTTAAATGAACAGTGGATATCTAACATTATAACGTGTATCAACCTTGCGTTCCCGTCATCTGGGCGAGATCTCACAGTTTCACGAAGATCTAAATGAAGGAGAAATGAACCCTGTAATCAATTAACACACCCAGTATCAACGGAAGTGCCTGGGAGATTCCATCTGTTTTCGATATGATCAAAGCTTCCCGTAGACAAACCTGTCATTCATGGAGCACTAGAAAGGTCTAAAGTATCATGTTGTATCAATAATTGTGACAGTTTCTTGTTATGTATGGATGCTAATACTTATTTAACTGATGTATACCTACACTGTTTCACGTCCTCGTGGCTCTTTTTTTAAAAATGGTGGGTTTTGTTAAGGAATAATAATATACAAAAGTGAGAGTTGAAATCAAATGAGTACTATTACACTATTACATATAGCGGCGTGCGCTCGAGTGTGCATGTGTGTGCGTGCGTGCGTGCGCTTGAGTGTGCATGTGTGTGTGTGTGTGTGTGTTGTGTCGGGGGTTGGGGAATGGATACTACTATTCGGCAGAACTAATGCTTGTTTTGTAATACAGAACGTAAGTGTAGACGAACACCAAGTGATGACAATGCTGAAAATTTCGTTTGGTGGAAAAGAAAAATATATCTGTGAAAATTATATCAGTAGATCACTAAATATCAGGATTGAGACCAGGTGTTCTCGAAAAGGGTAAGCATATCCTCCATGGATACCCTACTTGGACACATCATACTAGATCGAGCCTAGAGTCCTTGTATCCCTAAAATTCCTGGCGCCAAAGTAGCAGACAGTTCCATCGTTTAGCGTATTTTGGGTTGATGCAACGAAGGAACCGTATTACGGTTCTTTAACTTGGAACATGAAGTTAGAAACGGATTCGGGATTGGGGATTGGGGATTTGACTTAATCCTCAAGAGCACGCAGTTAGTTTATAAACGCGGGAACAACTTGAGAACTTGATATATAGATTACTCACAATTCATGGCACAAATCCTAAAGCTGTGTTAATGCGTGTGTTTTTTACCCATATTTCAGCAATATCACTGCGGTGAACATCAGAAATTGGCTTCACGCATTGTACCCATATGCTTAATAGAACCCTGGTCTACATAGAAAACATTTTGCTCTTTCAGTATGCTATGATTAGGGTGAAAAGAGCGTTGGAATATAATAGTAATAGGAATAGTACCGAAGAGAAGATATCAACTCAGAATATATTTAAAGCAATATATCAGCGAAGAATACATTAAAAACATTTGTTTATTTTGGACAGTTTATTAACGTGCTGATAAACATACTGAATGCTAGACTCGTGTACATAACTATTATTAGCTGCATGTAAAGCGTGTCCCAAGGCAGGGCTATTTCGTAGTTCGCTGTCAGTTCAGTTTTCTTAAGTGTCGTGAGTATGACTAAACGGCCTTCCAAGAGCAATCATGCCGCACCACAGTAGGGTAAACTAAATGGTTTAACGTGTGACGGAACGGACTTGCTTCGTAAACAAACCGCCCACCTTCTGCTGAGAGGCATTCCTGAATTACCATATGTGGAATCGGCACAAGTGGCCATTGTGCGCACATTGTAGACAGACAGATAGATTATTTGAATGTCACCTCCTATATACAGGAAAAGTACATGTAAAATAGGTAACATATAGCAACATATGAAATACATGAGCCACTCTATAAGTGAGTGAGTGAGTGAGTGAGTTTAGTTTTACGCCGCACTCAGCAATATTCCAGATATATGGCGGCAGTCTGTAAATAATAGAGTCTGGACCAGACAATCCAGTGATCAACAGCATGAGCATCGATCTGCGCAATTGGGAACCGATGACATGTGTCAACCAAGTCAGCGAGCCTGACCACCCGATCCTGTTAGTCGCCTCTTACGACAAGCATAGTCGCCTTTTGTGGCAAACATGGGTTGCTGAAAACCTATCCTACCCCGGATCTTCACGGATCGCCACTCTATAAGAGTTACGAGAGACTTGTATATATAGATATATGTTTAATACACTGGATTTTTTCATGTTTGTTAATCGGAGCTTCATGCACACACAAACACAAGTGTGGCAATCATCAGAGTAACTGAAATCAAATGGTATATATCCAAAAAAATTCATATTAAACATATCATTTGAAAATAGGTATATACATACAGCTATACTTAAAAGGTAAAACGTAGGCATGCAAAATTAAAACACAATGAATTCATGCGTTAAAAGGTATTCACTCTAGAAGGGGTTTAATAATATAGATGTCGACGACGCTTAAGTATATTAAAACAGGCTTTGGCACATTTGGTTATGACTTAAAATCGCTGTGAACTTGACACTCTCTGGCCACAAATGGAAATCGGTAAAGAAGGAGCTTGCTTCTTGTAGCAAGTCATATCTTCATCGTCGTATACAGGCCACTGTAGTAGGAGGTGTCGCTAGTCTTCAATACAGAGATTACAGCACATGGGACGTAGGCGTTTGTCTGGGGGAAGGTTTGTACGATAGGCTTGCCACTGCCTTTATCGACAGATGAGGGGTTCATATACGTTTTGCATACACTTCTGTACCTCATAGTGGTGGGGTACCCTAGTCGTTAAAACGCTCACTAGTCATACTGAAGGCCGGGGTTCGATTCCCTGATGGATTCAATGTGTCAAGCCCGTTCTGGTGTCCTCCGACCGTGATATTGCTAGCATCTTGCTAAAAGAGGCGTTAAACCATTAGGGCTGCGCAGTAAAACCGGTTTACCGGTATTTCCCGGTTCAGACATGAAACTAATACGCATTGCGATACGCTGATCGAAAACCGGTATTTTGACTTGCATTCGGAAAACTTCGTAACACTCGGAAATCTTCGGATATTTCCTTGTTACATTTGTGCCAAATACTATTTACATTTTTATTTTGTCATGATTAAAAGTTTTTATTAAAGCTTAATCAAGCATAGTGATTTTGTTGTGTTCATGCTTTATAAATCAAGCATTAACTCGATTATAAGTAATTTTTGTTTAAAAATACTTCTTGCAATATATTGCAATACATATCGCAATATATGCTTTCGCATCGCAATATATCGCAATGTGAAAATTCTCTGCAATACCCACCCCTAAAAACCATACTCACTCACTATACATCACATGACACATACGTAAACTTGTAACTGGCTTAAACATAGAAATACATAAAGAAAATGTTTGCGAGGCATCAAAGAGATAAAAAAATATTTAATAATAATATCCTACAAATTCAGCCTGCGCTGTATCAATAAAAGGCCGATACCAAACAAGGTCATTAAGTATCCATGATCCAGGGTGTTAACAAGGGATAAGAACATAACACCCAAGTCACGAAGTCCAGCGTGACTTCGATGAGCGGGCTGTCAACAAGTAAGGCGTCTGAAAAAATAGGAGGTTGTGCAAACGAAATCTGAACATATCTCTTCAACTGTTTCCTTTAATTGAATACTGCAGCATTGCTGCACTCGATACGGAAAATATAATAAAATAACTACACATCCATTCA